GCCTCCCAGGTTCAAATGATTCTCCTGCCTCAGTTTCCTGAGTAGCTGGGATTACAGGCACTCACCACCATGCCTGGCTAATTCTCTGTATTTTTTGTAGAGACGGGGATTTCACTATGTTGGTCAGGCTGGTCTCGAACAACTGACCTCGTGATCCACCTGCCTCGGTCTCCCAAAGTGCTGGGATTACAGATGTGAGCCACTGGGCCGGCCACTTTTGTTATTGTTTTTTTGTTTGTTTGTTTGTTTTTTGAGATGGCATTTCACTCTTGTTGCCCAGGCTGGAGTGCAACGGCACAATCTTGGCTCACTGCAACCTCCACCTCCTGGGTTGAAGCGATTCTCCTGCCTTAGCCTCCCAAGTAGCTGGGACTATAGGCACGTGCCACCACACCCCGCTAATTTTTTGTACTTTTAGTAGAGACAGGGTTTCACCATGTTAGCCAGGATGATCTTGATCTCCTGACCTCATAAACCACCCGCCTCGGCCTCCCAAAGTGCTGGGATCTGCCCACCTCAGCCTAACAAAGTGCTAGGATCCCAGGCGTGAACCACCGAGCCTGGCCTTTTTTTGTTTTGTTTTGAGACAGGGTCTTGGTCTGTCACCCAGGCTGGAGTACAGTGGCATCATCTCAGCTCACTGTAACCTTGAAACCCTGGGCTTCAGCAACCATCCCACCTCAGCCTCCCAAGTAGCTGGGATCACAGGCATGTGCCACCATGCCCAGCTAATTTTGGTATTTTTTTTGGAAGGTTCTCAACTCAGTGTCATCCCAACTCAGTGTTATCTACACTCTGCAGTGGTGAGTCTCCCAGAATAGCCCCAATGTGCCGTGCCTCCTGGTGCTCCCGGGCTTAGGCGGCACTTCCTGGTGGAATGTGGACTGGCTCTGTGATTGGCTTTGCCTGATCGAATTCGGTGGAGGTGATGATCTAGGGTTTGCAAGTCCAGGCATTAAGAAGGTCTGCCTGTGTGCTTTCAGAAGCCCTGAGTATGCCCATTTGCGAAGTCCAGACTATGCCATGAAGAGGTTGTATGTAGATGCCATATAGAGGGGCCACACAGAGAGGCCACAGGGACACCATGTAGAGAGGTGTCAAGGCTCCGTGGAGACAGAGAGAAGCCTGGGTGTCCCAATGTCCTGCTCAAGCATCTGTATGACTATCGCAGCTGCCATCTGAGAATCTCCAAATGAGAACCGTCTAGCTGAGGCCAGCCAAGCCAGAGAACCATGACGGATGACACAATGGAGGTTGTGTTAAGCCACTACATTTTGTGGCAATTTGTTATGCAGCAATAGATAATTAAAACAGAAATGCTATGGCTGGGTGTGGTGGCTCACACCTGTAATCCCAGCACTTTGGGAGGCTGAGGCAGGAGGATCACCTGGGCCTAGGAGTTCGAGACCAGCCTGGGCAGCGCAGTGCAACCCTATCTGTATTTAAATAAACAATAAATAAATAAAACCAAAAATCCCAGCTTAGTTCAAAGACATGAAATAGTTAATTGCTTAACCTCTTGAAGCCTCGGTTCTCAATCTGTAAAGTGGGGATGATGATGACAATAGTGACATCTATCACAGGGTTTTTGTGAAGATTAAAGGAGATCATATGTGCAAATCTCTCAGTACAATGCAATACTGTTACTATTAATTTTTACAATGGTGCAATCCAGTTTAGTGGCACATATTCAAGTTGTCATAAGATAACCAGGCATGGAGAGTCAACTGGGTGAGTCATAAATTTTAAGTGGAGTTTCTACAAAATGCGGTGGGGTTACTGCCTTTGCTCTTGCAATGATTCATTAAACAAGTTTCTGTATAACTCATGCACTCGTAAGAAAAAAAATAGTAAACACATAAAAGAAGGACACAAGCAAGACAAAACATGCCCACTGCGCAGTGGGAAGACCGGAAATTCCATCGCAGGCACTAGAATTCAACGGGGCTGCAGTTTAGATTCTGCTCGAGGAGTCGTGAACTTTGGTTTAGAATCATGCAGTGTGAGAGCCAGGAGGAAGCTCCAAGATCATCTAATTCCTCATGAGCACACGAGGAGGTGAGAGGTTGAGGTTTCACAGCTAGTTAAGAGAGAGCCAGACACATCCAGAGCTCCAGGTTGTTATGCAAACTTAACATTTGTGGTTCTTTTCTTTTTTTCTTTTTTTCGATATGGAGTCTTGCTCTGTTGCCCAGGCTGGAGTGCAGTGGCGCAGTCTTGGTCACTGCAAACTCTACCTCCCACATTCAAGCGATTCTCCTGTCTCAGCCTCCTGAGTAGCTGGAATCACAGGCACCCAAAACCACGCCTGGCTAATTTTTGTATTTTTAGTAGAGATGGGGTTTCACTATATTGGGCAGGCTGGTCTTGAACTGCTGACTTTGTGACCTACCCACTTCAGCCTCCCAGAGTACAGGGATTACAGGCATGAGCCACTGTGAACAACCTGGCCTATGGTTGTT